AATCGAACAATGAAACAGGAACGCCGTTTCAGCTACGCCTGGCACTCATGGGCCTTCACTCGTGGTGAACCGTACACCAAATAATGCATAACTCCTCGAATACTAGATTTCACGGCGGATGCTCCGTCCATTGCTGCACATCGCCAATGGAGATCACTTAAGCACGTTCCGTATGAACACCTGTACTGCGTGAGATGGACCCGCATGATTTCGTTCGCTAGAGCCACCTCGCGCCAACAGTGTTTCAGGAGCTGATATTCTTTACATGTTACTGCATAAATATCATAAATAGTATAATAATATTGTAACAGCTAGTGATCTTCCGTTATCGGCTAATATAGTATAATTGTTGAATGCACTTATTTACCGTACCAGTTGTGGAACGAGGGTATGGATTAGTTGTTGCCTGCTTAACTAAAAAGCAGTTCATGATAAGTAATTCAAGGCAACAGTTGAACAAGACGATGTAAATTCCTTTACTTACCAACGGGTTTCGATGCTACGAACTATAATGCTTGAGAATGCTGGTGTGCGATATCGAAATCCGTAATTAATAAACGGGATTATATCGCCCTTTTCAACTGCTGAATCATGAACTGCTACTTAGAATTAAGCAGACAAGAAATCCATACATCGTTCCATAACTAGTATAGCATAAATAAGGGCATTCAAAAATTTCACTACATTAATTATAATCAAAAATTAGGTTTACAATGAGCATTTGATATTAACTGATCGCTTGATGAAATATTAAAAGCGTAACAGTTAGAGATGAATCAGCAAGAAAGTTTTACCAAATGACCCGGTTAACGCTTAGATCGAAGGAAAAGGGAAGGACCTAAAAGCACCGAGGCACAGCCTTACTTCTGAACTATGCGAAATTAATCGATCGCGCAAACGTGGCGAAGCATGCAAATCGATGAAGTAGGCATACCGTACTCACGTCGATGCTTATTGGTCGGGGAAATCGGAGAAACAGGCGACGTAGTTGTGGTGGTCGTTTTATCGGACGTCGCTTCAAAAGTCGTCTCACGACTCAGCAATCCACGTCCGCCTATCGAACATCCAGATGTCACTACAGGCCCATGCATAGCAACACGACAACGATTAAAAAAAATTATCAATGAAATAAAATTACAACAAACATGCAATTATGCAACGCTGTATAAAATCATGCCAATTTCTAAGTCGTCAACCGCGACGACCAAATGGCAAGAGACAGGCAACAAGCAAACACTGACCGAACTGGTCAGCCGATTTCGTTCTGTTTTTAAATCGAAACGTAACCTGAAAAAACAACCGAAGAAGAAAACAACGCCACGTACCCACGGGGCTTTCGTCAAGTTCCGCCGGAGCGTGATGTTCTCGAGCTGCCTGCATTAGCGACACGGATTCTAAGCAACAAAAGGTGAGCCATGATTCGGACGATCAACAACGGTTTAGATAAAGAAACCCACAATACCTGGTGATTGACTGCCGTCCAGCGTGTCAAAGCTTTTCTGCTCTCCAAAGCTACCTATAATCCTGAGCGTTAGGTACGTTAACAGGATCCGTTTGTTGTCGAAAAGCGAAGATCATAGCATGCACTATTACGCAATGATCTAATTGTTCTTATACAACTAAAACCATGCTCAATTCGCCAGACGTAAGAACAACAGGTGAACAAGCCAACGACGAACATCTACATTTTTACCAATGGACCTGCAATGCTCTCGGCATGATCGATCCGCGACGTCCTCGTCGTGGCCAAAAGGGGATATCATCGCAGAACAAAGTACGACAGAGAGCCCTGGTCGGCTAACAAGGCCTACCTAGTCGATGCTGACTGTGTTTCTTAGGTCAAACAGTTAAATTTAGGCACTGTTGTGCATTAGAAGGAGAACCTGACCAATCCAGATGGAAGGATGGAAGCATACCGGTTGCATCGATCTCTAGACAAGCCTGAAGAGAACTTTTCCTTTTCATTATGAAACCACCTATTGCCGGGATGGACGTACATTCATACGCAGCCAGGCAGAAGTTTTTGGTAATGCAACACTGTTTCTGTATTGACAAATCGAATCACTATCTCATTGCTTGAACACACTCGACAGTGCGACAGCTGCACTTTCCCTTTACCCTTACCGTCTCAATGGATAGCTCCATGTCTAACAAACTCAGTATTTGTGGAAACGGCATCTCCGCCGTCACTATTTACGTCAAGCTACATTTTAAGGACAGGCGTGCTCTCTTCAAGGCATATGCTTCGCTCTTAGATGTTTATTTTGCCGAAACCAAGACGATTCAACCATATTCGCTTTGTTCCGCCCAACAATTACTATGTAGATCGTTAGACGATCTAAGAATACGAAACGATCTAAACTCTATACGGGGAGGTGAGAGGTACACTACTCTGAAAACTGGAAACTGTAAGTTTCACCGCACTAGACCAATTACTCATTAGGGCAGAAGAATGCTTACCGATGCGGCCACCTTCGGCGGTTTCAGCTCCTGACGGCTTTTGACCAACTTGTTTCATGTACTCCTTGATTTCGTCGTCCGTCGTACTGGCGAACGGGTTTGGCTGATATAGCTGATGGAATATCTGAGCGTTGTGCTGAAATTCGCGCTCAATGATGCCTTTACTGGCCGCTCCGATAATAATTTTTTCCTGAGTGCCGCTCATTTCCGCATCCTGAACGGCATCACTAACGTACGGTAGCATAATTTTCAACATCATCGTTCTTACCTTTATTTTTGCGGCATCGGGCCAGCTGACCGATTCTAATAGCTTAGACTTTGGCCCGGGAGACACCGCATCAGAACGCCTCGCTTCTTTGATCTAAAAAATCAAAACTTATAGTCCAAGCGATACGGTCAAAAACATGAAGACGTATGCATACGAAAAATGGTAACCGAAACGCTTCCGTGAACATAATCCATGAAGAAAAAATATAAAACAGGCTCTGAACTATAACACTCAACTGTGATTTGTTCAACGAGAGAGGCAAGTGAAGTATATGTTCCTTACCGGAGGACAAATCTGACTAACTCGTAGCTAAGTTCATTGAACATTTGTGTCAACTTTGTAAAAATAATTCACTTTACTAGTATGCATTTGAAATAACCGAAAAGAAATGCCAACATGTTTTAAAATGACCAGATCTCAATCAGCTTTACGAAGAAATTCGTCACAGCAGAAACAAAAGAAAGCACAAAACAAGTAGTCGCTGCTTTATCCACCACACAAGGGGTACAGTTCGAACGATCTGTATAAAAAAGAATCCTTGGAATTATTTTGTTAACCGAAAGACTGTCGGACAAACTGAAACACCGCGACCAGCAACCGCAATGAACGGCCACATGCATAACATCGGTATTATCGTTTATTAACTCGGACCTTTGTGTTCTTACATCTTGCAAAAGTTGGCAAGTATTTTGATGTCGGTATCACTTGCACGTTCATGACTGGTAATGTTCTTTTCAGAGAACTAAAAATACCTGCTTCTGCG